GCCAGACCCGGGCAGGGGCAGGGGCAAGCACCCCGAGGCCTGTGCCCAGGGGCTGCCCTCGGTGGGGGGCTTTCCAGGAAGAGGCCCTACTCAGGGACGTGGCCGTGCACGGAGAGACTTCTCGAAGTGAAGTCGCCACGGCGCCCGTGTGCCTGCGGGAGTCTCACTGTGAGGCGGCTCCCGGGCCCCAGCACCATCGCCCAGGACCCTTCTCTGGCATGGGGAGGGGGGCGGGCAACTCCAGGAGTTAACCCGCTGCTGGTAGGTGGTAGTAACTTACTGCCCCAGTTGGGACACTCCTGGGAGTGGAACTGGGAGCCCTGAATAATGACAGGGGACAGCAGGAGTGGGCGGGGCTGCATGCGTGGGCCCCTGTCCCAGCGGGGGGGAGGGGGGGGCCCTCCGGGGCCAGCAGGGAGCAAACAGCAGAAGGGGCCCATGTCGACCGGGCTGGGGGCTGACGCGGGCGGGCAGGGGGCAGGCTCCTTCCGGCCGGGCCACGCCAGGTCCAGGGCAGCCGTGGCGCCACATCCACGAAGGCCGCGTGGTGGAGTGCGACCGGCCCTCCCTCCTGTGTTCTGGTGGCGCAGCAGCTCTCTGGGACTGGCGTCGCGAAGTGCCACCAACCGGGGCTTCAGACCGGAGGGGTGCAGTGTCTCAGTCCCCGCGGCCAGGCCGGCGGGCTCAGTGGTTGAGGTCGACCTATGAACCAGGAGGTCAGGGTTCGATTCCCGGTCAGGGCACAGGACCGGGTTGTGGGCTCCATCCCCAGTGTGGGGCGTGCAGGAGGCAGCCGATCCATGATTCTCTCTCATCAGTGATGTTTCTCTCTCTCCCTCTCCCTTCCTCTCTTTGAAATCAATAAAATGTATTTTAAAAAAATAATCAATCAAGGTGTGGGCAGGGCTGGCTCCTGCTGGAGGCTCCGGGCGAGAGGGCCTGCTCCAGGCCTCTCCGGCTCTGGGGCTCCGCTCCCCTGGGTGGTGGACACATCACGGGGGTCTCTGCTCCGCCTCCCCCGTGTGTCTTCTCCTTTGCTGTCCCCGAGGACGCCGGCCATTGGATCTCGGGCCCACCCAGGACAGTCTCATCTCAAGACCAGCCTGCCCTTAATGACACCTGCAGAGCCCCTCTCCCAAACAGGGTCATTTCCCGGTTCCAGAATTAGGACTCGGACATACTGTGCTGGGGGCCACTGCTGGACTGTGTCTGCAGGCAGCACGGCAGGTTCCGGAAGGCCCAGACCGTGTGGCGGGGCCGGGAGGGCTGTGGGGGGCTGGGGCGGGGTCCGCCTGTGCCCTCACCTGCCAGGCTGCTGGAGAGCTGTTCCAGGGAGAAAGGAACGTAATGAGTTTGGGGAATAAGGCGAGGTCTGGGGTCCCGAGGCCTCGGGGCTCCCCGCCCAGCGCCGAGGCCCTGTCCGAGTGGGGGGCCCACGGATCCCCGGCACCCACTCCCGGATTGTGCTCTTTGATGACTGCACACGTTGCTGTGCCCGCAGGCTGTGTGGAGAGCGGCCCAGCCCGCCTGCAGCTGGGGAGGGAGGCGGGGGCCGGTGTGTGTTCGGTGGCCCCGGCAGGCTTGTCAGACCTGCTGTTCTCCAGAGCCTGGCAGCCGGGGCCAGGGACCAGGCCAGCCTCCGGTGGGAGTGTGGGGAGCAGGACGGCCCCTCGGAGCACCCTATCTTCCGGCCAGGACACTCGAGACGAGAGGAAGCCGCTCCTTCTAACACCCAAAGCCAAAGGCTGTCATTAGAATCAGTGTGTGGGGTGGGGGGGTCCCCTGGGTGGAGAGACCTCCTGGGGACCCTCGGGACATGGCTGGCTCCGTGGCGCATCCCCCAGGACCGCGTGGAAATGGGTCAGCTGGTTTCTTCTTGGCCAGGGGCGAGGCCAGACCCTCAGGGAGACTGTGCCAGGGGATGCACCGCTGGCCTGCATCTGGTTGGAGGGCTGGGGACAGGGGCTGTGTGACACTGCCCACGCCCAGGCCACCTCAGCTGGCCACGGCCACCCCGTCCCCTGGGCCCTGGACTGGAGCCGGGGGAGGGGCCTGGCACCGGTGGGCGCGGAGGGAGGGGCCGAGGGAGGGTTGAGCTGTGGGTGCCGGCTCCTCACCCTCCAGCCTCTCTTCTTTATATGGACTTGGCTGTTGCATAAGCGCCCGCCCGCCCAGGCCCGTTGACAGCTCAGCGTTCCCTCCCTTGGGGACTGTTTTGCTTTCTGAGGGCCCCGCCCCCTCTTCTCCCATCCACATGGGCCTCTGTTCCCAGCCTTCCTCCCCCACCCGCCTCCTCAGCCGTCCCCTCTGCGGCGGAGCCCCAGGGGCCCCGAGATGGGGGTCCAGTGCCAGCGGGTCCCTGAGGGGACCGGGCCAGGGAGGGCGGTGGCCGCTCAGGTGCATCACCTGCACGTGACTCTGCGGTGCCGTGGGCACCCCCAGCTCTGCACCCACACCCCGGGCTGGCCCACCAGGTGGGTTGGGGTGTCGACTCCAGTTACAGCCCAGAGCTGCTAGTGTGGGGAACAGGGTGACCCCTCCCCGCCTTCCCGTCTGGGGCACCAGGTGCCACCAGGAGAGGCTCTGAGCGGAGGGGCAGGGACTGGCCGTGGGGTGATGGACGTGGGGAAGGACCGTGCAGTCTTGGCCACCTGAGGGGGGTGACCACACGCACACACGCGCACCCCCCCACACACACACACACATGTGCAGATGGCACCCACACCGACAGCTGTAAAAATTGTTGCACAGTCACCACCTGCCGCCTCTCCTGTCTCCCCTGCTGCCTCAGAGGGAGCCTCCCGCTCTGCCCACCCTGAGCCCTCCCTGAGCCCCCACCCCCCTCTGACCATTGTAGCCCAGAGGGTTCAGCCTTTGAATGGCCGTAACATGACCCCAGATCCGCACAGCCTCCCCTCTGAGAACTTGAGAACTTTGCTTGCCGTCCCTGTCAGGCCTTGGTGGGGGGAGCTGAGCTTTGCCACCCAGGTTTCTGTGTCCGCCAAGAAGGAGGTGTGCTCAGGGCTCGGAGAGGGCCTGTCGGGAGCACCAGGGCTGGGGGACGGGAATTCAGGGGGCAGGCATCAGGGATGGGGCCTCCTTCGCGTCCCCCACTCTGGTGTTGGGATCACACACTCCCTGGCCTCCTGCCCGCCCCCCAGCAGGCCCTGTCTTGTGGCTGGAAGTGGAGGAAATGGAGGGAGAGTTGCTAAGAGTGGCCCTGGAGAGCGGGCGGGGCCTGGGGACCAGCAGCAGGTGAGGGGAGGGGGGAAGTGGTGGAGCCCCTGAAATCCTGGGCTCTGGTGGGTGAGGCGAGGTGAGCGAGGAGAGGGCTGGGGAGACCCCGGGTGGATGAGGACCTGGCCGGCAGGAAGGAGCTGGTGAGTGTCCTGGATGTGGCCCGCCTGCCTGGTCTTTACAACCAGGAGCAGCTGGTCTCCTCTGACTTTGGGGGTGGCTGCTTCTTAGGCCCCATCCCCACCGCCTGGGGGGAGGGAGCAGAGAGGTGGAGGGCGGGGGGTGGGGTGGGAGTCAGTGTGCGCCCCCCCTCCCCCGGGGCCGGGTCTGGCCGGGACAAGCAGGGCAGGGGAGGCAGGTGCAGGGGAGGGTGAGGACAGAGCATGGGGCTGAGAGGGGGCAGACCACGCTGGGGCTCCACGGGATTCCACCAGAAACTGCACGGCCGCGTGCCTAGAACCGGGGGCCTTGGAGCCAGGCAGACACGCCTCTGGGTCAGCCCCCTGCCCCTGCTGCAGGGGAGGTCAGGGTGGCCAGGGGGCCTCAGGCCGGAGACGGACCCTGCGTCCTCAGCTCGTCTCCCTGTGGGAACGCATTCAAACAAGAGGCAACACGTAGCAGCAAAGCAGGCGAGACTTTGCAGGAAAGGATCCACTCAGATACAGTCTGAGCGGGCGACGAGCCCCCCAACCAAACCAAGTGCCCCGCTCGGGGGCGTTGGGGGGCTTACACCTCTCGGCTGGAGCGTCCCTAATAAGCCTCTTCCCCCCTCGTTTCTCAGAAGAATATTTACCTCCAGGCCCTAAGGCTCCTTCACCCAGGGTTACGTCACCCACCGGTCAGACTGCGCCAGAGGGGCCCCAGGTCTTCCCTGTCCCATGGGGGTCTGTTGTCTGCAGCATCTAATTTTGGGGTGTCACATCTCACACGTATTCCCTCCAAGCCCTAACTGCCTCACCCAGCTCAGATCTTTCTAGCTGTCCACTCTTTTTCTTTTTTAAATATATTTTTATTGATTTCAGAGAGGAAGGAAAAGGAGAGAGAAACATTAATGATGAGAGAGAATCATGGATGGGCTGCCTCCTGCGCACCTCCACTGGGGATCGAGCCCACAACCCAGGCATGTGCCCTGACCGGGAATCAAACCCGGGACCCTTCAGTCCACAGGCCAGCACTCTGTCCACTGAGCCACACCGGCCGGGGCGAGCTGCCGACACTTTAACAGGAACATGGCCTAGCCCGGGCCTCCGTGTCCCCGTCTGTATCAGGGGATAGTAGCTTCATTTGCGGCGTATTTGTCTTGAGCACTCGGGGAGAGGCGCACGGCGAGCCAGTCCTCGCCTCCGTGAGGTGTTCAGCGTCGGCTCCTCGCGCTGCTGTTGGCGATGGTGTCCTTTTCACGCGGCTCTGATGGGTCGCGGTGCTGTCGTTCCTGGGGACGTGTCCCTGGCTGCTGCGGGGGTGGTGGCGATGGCGTGCTTGCTGATGGTGTCGCGTTGGGCGCATGCGAGGAAGGAGTCAAAGGCTCCCCGGAGCCAGGCATCCCGACGGGAAACGTGGCTGGTCCACGCGTGGTCGTGGCGGGACAGCGAGGCTGGCGTCTTTCAGGCTCCAGCCTTTTCTCTCCCCCCATGATCGCTGTGCCTCGGAGGCTCCTGGTAGAGGGGGGCTGTCCCCTCCCGCTTCTGAGAGGTGAAGCCGCGCGTGGGATGTTCCGGGGTTCCCGAGCCCCCACTCATCCCGCCCCGCTCTCTGTCTTTCAGCCTTGAAAAGATCTTTCGAGGTCGAGGAGGTCGACACGCCCAACTCCACCCCACCCCGGAGGGTCCAGACGCCCCTGCTCCGGGCCACCGTGGCCAGCTCCACCCAGAAGTTCCAGGACCTGGGGGCGAAGAACTCGGAGCCGCCCGCCCGCCATGTAGACGCCCTCAGCCAGCGGTCCCCCAAGGCTGCCCTGCGAAGGGTCGAGCTGTCGGGGCCCAAGTCAGAGCCCATGTCCCGGCGCACCGAGATCTCCATCGACATCTCATCCAAGCAGGTGGAGCCCGCCGGCACCCCCGGGCCCTCGCGGTTCGGGCTGAAGCGGGCCGAGGCGCTGGGCCACAAGACGCCGGAGCCCACGCCGCGGAGGACGGAGATCACCATCGTCAAACCCCAGGAGCCAGCCCACCGGAGAATGGAGACCCCCGCCGCCAAGGTCTCCGAGGTGTCTACCGCCCCCACGGCCGACCCCGCCCCCAGGAGGGTGGAGATCCAGGTGCCCAAGTCGGCCGAGGTGCCCACCGCCCCCGTCCCGTCCCTGGAGAATTCAGAGCCCACCCCGCTGTCTCAGCTGCAGAGCAGGCTGGAGCCCAAGCCCCTGCCTCCCTCGGCCGAGGCCCCACCCAGGAGCCAGGAAGGTGAGCAGCCAAGTGCCCGGTGTGGCCAGGGGTGGTGGTGATTGGGGGCGGGAACTGGCTTTGCCACGGAGTCTTGGAGAAAGAAGCTGAATGGGGGGGTGGGGGTTGTGCTTCCGTGGGGACCTAGAACACACAGGGGCCAGCGGCCGCGGGCTCAGGGAGCAGGCTGTCCAGGGAGGATGGGCCGGATGCGGCAGGTGGCACTGAGCTGGGCTTTGGGACGAACCCTCTATGGCCAGCGTGGACCGTGCCGTCGAACCGCTGCTGTGTGAGCCGGACGGCGGGGCTGGAGCTTGGAGCCTGGAAATGCAAGGCAGGGGCGTTTGCACCTTGAGGACGGGCTTTCACGTTCTGTGGTCGCGGGGCCCCAGGCAGGACTAGCAGGCGGCCCTAAGAGTGCCTGGCAGAGGCCGAGGTCCCGGGGTAGGGGTTGGGGGGTTTTGGGGGTCCTGTCCCCCCTGAGGTTTTGCATTGGAGGTTTTCTACCGGCTCCCCCAGGAGGGAGGTTGTGAGCAGAGGCCAGGAGAACATAAGAACCTCATCTCTGGACCCTCAGACTCTTTGAGCTGCTGGGGAGGGGTCCCGGGCCAGGCGTCCCCATGATACCTGCCCACAGCTACGTTTGGGGGTGCTCTTCTGATGAGGGGAGGGGGAGGGAAGCAAGGGTCTTGGGCACTGTCCTCAGAGGACCCAAACCCAGACTCTGGCTCGCTCGGGGAGCTTCCAGGGGAGGCAGTGGGGATCCCCGTGCGACCCCGGGCCCCAGGGCTGTGCGGGTGCCAGCGGCACTGTGAGCCGCGTGGCCGCCGGGTCCGTTCTGATCGCCGGACTCGGACCCGTGAACGTTCAGTAGGTGTTGTGTGCGTTGGACGGACAGAACATTCTGGGGCTTTGATTTACCTTTTCGAAGTGACTGTTTTTAGTTGTGGTTGTAATACACATAACGCAAACCCTTTTAACCGCGTTCAAGCGCACAGCTCAGTGGCATTAGTGGCACTCACATCGCTGTGCAGCTGCCCCCACCGCACAGTCACTCCCACCGCCAGCCCTGGCCCCGCCCTCCCCGCCCTCCCCGCCCCCGAATGTAAGTGGGGTCACACAGTGCTTGTCCTGCGTCTGGCTGTCACGGAGCGTCACGTCCTCCCGGTCTGCCTGCGCCGGAGCAGGTGTCGGGCTCCTTCCTGTTTGAGGCCGGGGTTCCGGGGGGTGTCCGTCGTCTTTGACGGACAGCGGCTGCCTCTGCCCGCGGGGCTTGTGCGCCGTGCCCGTGGGCGCACGCCTCTCTCCCCCCTGCCTGCACTTCCTCTCGCTTTTCCTTGTTGAGTGAGACTTTCCAGGGGCCAGCGGACTTGGGGGCCGAGGGCCCTGGGCTGGCGATGGAGGGGGGCGTGGGGTGAGCCGCTGTGTTCTGTGCAAGCGAACGTTTGAGCAGGTGGGGCCGGGGCTGAGGGGCTGAGGGTGCTTCCTGCAGCGCCGGCCACTCTGAGCAGCCGCCTGTGTGGGTCTGTTCTCGCTCCCACGTCCATGTCCCGAAACGTGACCCTGCAGAGCCACTTCCTGGAGTGCTGTGAGGACAGCCGGCCAGTGTTCGGGGCGTGTCCGGGAGGCCATTTCCTCGTAATCCTCGGCTGATCTTTGGTTGGTCCAGGGCCTCTGGCACCGGATATGTCCCCCTCCAGGGGGGTGAGGTGTTCACACGCGGCCCAGTCCAACAGGATGTGGCTGGGAGATGGCCGTGCCAGGCCGGCCAGGTTTTGGTGACAGCTGGCGTTGGATGCGCACGGAGATGGTCCCGGCTCTGGGGGGACAGGCAAGGGGTGCCTGCTCAAGTGGCAGGGCCCTGGGTCAGCGGGCGGGCGGGGCACAGCCTCCGGGTGTACAGGGACGGTCAGGCGGGCTGTGGCTGAGCAGGGGGACCCCCCAGGGGAGGACGGGGTAGGGGGACCAGGAGCAGTAGGGGCGCCTTCCCAGGAGCGTGGCCCCGCCCCCTAAGGCTTGGCCCCTGTGGGGTTAATCCAGCAAAGGAGGGGCGAGCCTAGCATTTCCAGCGGAGGCCTGAAGTGAGGGACCCCCGGCATTTCTCCGTGGAAAAGAATGTGGACATCCGGGTGGGAGTGGCCGCATTCGGCAGCCCCCCAGACCCGGCTGCCCCCGGAGCGGCCCCCAGAGGGGTGTCCAGCCCCCCTTGCAGGGGCCACCACCTGGCGCGACTGTGCCAGTTGTGTGTGTACACGCATGTGAACTCACATGTGTGCCCGTGCCCCGACCCCGGGTCTTAGCGGCTGGGGCGGGCTCTCTGAGCCAGGGCTCACCTGCGGAGCCCCTTTAGGCTGGGCATGTGCACTGACTGGGGGTGGGGCGGGGCTGGACGGCCGCTGGGAGAGGAAGAGGCTCTGTTGGGGAGGGGCTGGGATGACTCACTTTGGGAGGATCTTTCCTCTTCCAGCAGGTTCTGGAAGGAGCCCGGGCCAGGAAGGGGCGAGGCCCACTGAGGGCCGGTGAATGTGGCCTCGACCTGCTCGGCCCTGGACGTGAGGCCAGAGGTCCTGGGCATCTGCCGGGAGGGCAGGGCTTTCCTGGTGGAGGGCGTTCCCGGAATGTGTTGCCGTGGCTTCTGGGGGCCCAGGTCTGCGTTCCCACCCAGCCCCTGCCCCGCCCGCCTCTTCCTCTCCCCTCCTCTGGTCCTGGCCCTCCCAGTTCTCCCAGATGCACATCCTGCCTGTGCATCGGCCCCACGTCCTGTCCATCTCTCCTGCGGCCGGGCACTCCCGTCCCTTCCGCCCTTCCTTTGGGGGCTTGGCGGAGCGCGGTAGGAAGCCTCCCACCCTTTGTGGCACCCTGCCCCTTGCACCTGAGGCCCAGCTGGCACAGCAGGGGCAAGGATCAGGGAGGGAGTGAGTTCTGCACTCTCTGTTCAGACTCTCGCCCTCTGCCTCTGCCTCCAGGAAGCCTCCCAGCTGGCTTTGGTGCTGGACAGTCTCCTGGGACCCCAGCTGAGTTACGCCCAGATTGACCTCCCTAAACAGGGCACCGATGAAATCTTTGCCCACTCGGAGCCTCCTCCGGCCCACTCATCCCGGGGCCTCCACAACCCCGTCTCCCTCTTGTCCAGCTGCCGCCTCCACAGCTCCTCCTGCCCGGTCCTTTCCTGGCCTCCCATGGGCCTCCTTTCCTCACAGCTGATCTGCTCTGACCTTCTGACCTCCAACTTGGCTCCTCCTCACATCACTGCTCTTTGAACTCCTATGCATCCTCCAAAGCCCAGCTCAAGTGGCACCTCTTCCATGAAGCCCTCCCATGAGCTGGAAGTAGCCTCACTTCCTCTGACTCCCAGGCCTTTTTGCATCTTTCTTGTGTGTCATATCTCATGTTTGGCTTGGGATGTGAATTATTTGTACGTGAGCCTTCTTTCCTCTGCCAGGATTTTTAACGTAGAAAGTAGTTTCGCATAGTACCTTTCCTTTAAAATTCAGAAAATATAGAAATTAGAAAGAAACAGAAATTTACCAGTAGCTAAACTCTTAATGTTTGCTCTATATTGTTCAGAATTCCTTCCATGCCCCCCAGGATTCTATGTTACTAGAGGGTGGGGGTTTTATCTTTGTTTCTGGTTTGTTTTGTTTGTAAGAATCCTGTAAGATCCTGAGTCAGTGATGTGGGCACAGCAGGTGCTCAGTAAAGTCACGTTGGAGGAGCGAGGTGAGAAGCTGTTTTGTCACCCTCGCAAGCAGATACTTCCTGGTCAAATAGGAACCCACAGACCTGCCCCGCTCCCCTCTGGCACCTGGGTTCTGAGGCTGCTGCCCGTCCCTGCACTTGGCACCTTCCGCGTCATCCCTCGGTCATCGCTGCCCCTCTCTCGGCCTCCGGGTGGGAGTGGCCTCGCCTCCTCTCCAGGTCCTGCTCTCCCCCTGCCTCTGCCGGGGTGGCTCTGGGTGGGGCCGGGCTGCAGAACCCAGAATCCCGCCTGTGGGGCGGCTGCCGACTCTGCCTCACTTGGGAGTCTGTCACCGCCCCCCCCCCCCCCCCCTTGGCTCCGCGCTAACAGCAGCCAAGTTTCCCGAGGCTGCCTTATAAGGCGGCACTGCCACTCACCCAGGGCCTGGCTCGCTGCTGCTGCTGGGTGCTCACAGGCGGCCCTGGGGGAGGCCATGGCGACAGGGCCGGGTGGTGAGTGGGGCGTCCCACCTGGAACCCAGCTGAGTTCCTGGGCGTGTCTTGGCTTTACCCAGTGGGACTTTGCTTTGCTCCCCCCACACCCGACTCAGTTTCTCTGTCCGTCAAATGGGCGAGGGATTAAGTCTGCTGGCCCCAGGTGGCCTGAGCTTTCCAGGTGTCCGTCCCATGGTGTGCCAGGGGCCACGCGTGACAGTGAGCATGAGATTGGGGTGCGGCAAACTGAGCGAGTGTCTCCATAGGGTTTCTCTCCGACTAAAACTACCAGAAATGCCCGGCTGGTGTGGCTCAGTGGTTGAGCGTCAACCTTGAGTTAGGAGGTCAGGGCTCGATTCCTGGTCAGGGCACACGCCCAGGTTGCGGGCTCCATCCCCAGTGTGGGGCGTGCAGGAGGCAGCCGATGGATGATTCTCTTTTATCGTTGATGTTTCTATCTCTCCCTCTCCCTTCCTCTCTGAAATCAATAAAAATAGATTTAACAAATAATAATAAAACCACCTGGAAACATTCTTTGTTGTGGGGAAGGCGGACCCTCCTCTGAGTGTCCCTGAGGCCCCCTCACACCTGGTTGGAAGCAGGAAGGCCCCCCTTTGGGGGGACAGGACAGGAGGACCGGCGGGAGGAGTGGCCAGGCCCAGGTGCGGCCTTCCAGAGGGCAGAGTAGGGACAGCAAATAGAAAGAACCACCTCCCGCCGCCCCCCCCGCCCCGCCGCCTGCCAAGCCCTGCGCAGGGGTGAGGACGGGGGACCATCCGGGAATGCAGCCCCAGCAGCTGCCGGATGCCTTAAATAGAGCGGGCACAGCTGCGGGAGAGGCTGGGCAG